AATATATATTGTAAATGTTTTAATCATAAATAAAAGAAAAATTAAAAAACAGAAATACAACATTTTTGTATTCCCTATAATGTAGATAAAATATAGATTGTAATAAGAAAAAAGTCAGAACAATAGTATTTATAACTACAAAATTTGGCTTATAACACTAACTTTGATTACTTTTATCCGTTGGTAATAATTTATGTAAAAAATAAAATATTTTTATCATTTATTACCTGGATTATAATATTTATGCATTATTCATTATAATTATAATTATAATACACTTAATAAATTAATAATTAAGCAACCTATTGTTTAATTTATATACGTGTTGTATGTACTAATCAACTGCTTATCATTTGTTCTCATAAATCTACAGAACAAATAACTTTTTTACTAATTACTATTCGTTCAGTGTAACAATTATATTAATAATACATTCGTATAACTATAACAGTATATGCACATAGTGATAAAGAAATCAAGTATTAAGTTCACAAGTATAAGATCAATTATGGAAATTTTTTCGGCAAATTTATTTTTACTCGACATTTTAATAAATCAATGGATTATTAAACTCTATGCTTTGGTTTCTCCATTATTGGAATGCAAAAATTATTGATACTATTGTAATTGAATAATGATACTGATAAATAATAATTGAATATCCAACGTTAATTTAATTTATCTTATTTTATTATATATATATATATATATATATATATATATATATATATATATATATAGTACAGAATAATAGTTCTAGTTTTCCTGAAAAATAATTTAAACATTATTCAAAAATATTTATATAATAAAATCATAATTTTTAAATTATTTTCTTCGTTAAAAAAAATTACATAAAAAGCGATTAATATTTTATTTTTAGATTAAACGTCGTAAATAATGGAAATCGGTCGATACTTTACTAGTAAGATTTACTAGTAAGTTTCAAGATAATATAAACAAATTTACCATTTTGATAGTGATATATTCATTAGCAAATTGAATAATTTTATTGAATTAGGATTATTGAATTTGAATGGCATAATTGTGTTCAATATAAATTAGCTAATGAATTGATTATTGATATATTTAAGGGCGTCTAAAATTATATCAGATATCATATTTCTAATTTAATTGCAAATTAAAGAATTCTATTTTTAATTTAGAAATATTATATTTTATTATGCGTAAGACCCATTGCTTATTATACAATTTGAAATGCAAAAAGTATCGAAAGTAAAATTATTTTCTTTAAACAAAAAAACAAAACAAAACAAAACAAAAACAAAAAACAAAACAGAACAAAAAAAAAAAAAAAAATTAAAAACAAAAAAAAAACACCGTATATTTTAATGAATATGTACATAATTTTTATCGTATTTCAGCAAATAAGTTCAGAAACTTTTAAGCAAAATTCTCTTATTTTATAATTGAAACAAGATTTGACGCTCGTACGTAACGTGTTGAACATCGCGCATAGTTGCCGAAGACGCGAGTCAGCCACGCAATTCCACTTTGCACGAGTATCTCGAGTCGTCAAGTTCAAGCTGAAAGGCAAGATTAAAATGATAAAGTCAGGCCATTTATAGGAATGTGAGAAATCAGCGCGGTGCGTCGTAAATGGACGAAAGTACGAAACAGAAAGAAACGCGAGTCCGACCATGACATGCATTCGCCTCTGGTGCCGCTTGTTTAAAGAGGAAGCAAGACATTTGTAATGGTTAGAGTACTGTAATGCCTGATCGAATTCTTATTCCATAAGCTATAAAAACTTTATAATCGAATCGCGCAATTAAAATTATTTCTTCAATATGCTAAATTTAATTTTGTGTATTATTGTAATTCATCTAGCGTGTGCCTGAGCTAAGAAGGCTATTAATTAAAATCAAGGTTTCATCTTGAACTTCACATACAATTATCTCAAGCTAATGAATTGAAATAGGAAATGAAAAAAAAATTTAATTGAACTACTTGTCGAATATGAAATTTTGTCCACTTAGATTTGAGTACTCATTCCTCTGTGAAAAAAAAAAAGGAAAATATTTTTTATTTCATTATTAATATCCGTTGTTTATGTAATACATCGAAAAAAAACTTTTTCTTTCATTCAATTTTTGTAATACTTCATACGCATTGCTTCGAGTGTATTTTCAATATTTTCAATTTATTCTAATTTCTTCACCTATTGCCTTTTAAACCATAATTACTCTTTATTATTAAATATTGCTTACTGGATATTACTAAAACATGGTTTAATGTTTAATTTGGATGTTACTCGACTTTTAATATAATTATACCAAGTGTTACAGGTACTCGAAAGGATATTTGGGCAATTAAAAATATTATAAAAAGAATTAATCTCCGAAATAAGTAATTAATAATGAAACAAGCTGAATCATAAGAATAAAAATTTATATAACGAAAACGATACAATAATTAATAATATAATGAAATAATATAATAACAGTACCAGTTAAAGTAGAATATTAATATTAATAATTGTAATAAGCAACCGTTAAATTGTCAATATTTTTTACATTTCATCGGTGAAATATAATAATTTTTATCTCAAATATTTTTAACAATTTAACTTACATATTTAATAAATATAAAGCAATTACTTTTTTATATGAAAAAAGGCAATTTCTTGAATTAATTACAAAATTTATAAAAAATTTTGAAACATACAATAAAAATTATTTATTATTTATCGCACCGAAGTAGTTACTTCTTTTTAAATATTTCCGATAAAAAAAAAATGTATTCCAATCACCGATCGACTAAGACAACAAATTTTGTAATTTATTTTTCAAAAGAATAACGTTTCCCAAAGGAAATTAATATACTTCAAAAGTGCGTTAAATAAATAATATCTCAAAATTTACGTTATTCTAATAAGTATAAATAATGTCAATCATATTTATGTATTTTTTTTATGTGAACAACCTGTACTTAAATTCCTCTATGTTTATGTATTCTTTCTGAAGACGAGCAAAGTTTTTAACTAATTTACATTTGTTATATCCACCTGTACTGTATGTAATAAATATATATTTAATACAGACGAGTCTGAAAAAGAATTATAAATGTAATCAATTAACAATTTTACGATTATCAATTATTGTATTAAAAATTTTTAAAATTTATGCATATTATTTTTTATCTAACATATACATTATTTATGAAAAATATAGTTGCTTATACAAAATTTAACTAATTATACAAATATATTTTTATACAAATGCAGATCGTCGATAATTATTAAAATATAAAAACAAACTTTCACTAATATATTTGTCGCCGATATTATCTTTATCTTCGCTATAATAAAACAATTCGCTTACACAGTGACAATTCTACAATGTAATTTGTACATTTAATTTACATTTGAAGAAAAAAAAAATGTAAAAAGTTCTTTTTCTACTTTATTTTAAACTGACAAAACACGCTTAAATATAAAAAAAATATGTAAATTATATGAAATTATAAAAAAGATCGAATATTCGTGATTAAAGAAAATTCAACGTATATTTTATGGTTTGTTTATTCGACTGTCATATTAAATACGATCATATTACAGATAAATTGTATATTGGAATTATTTAAAAATCTTCACAAGTAAAATACGAAAATATTGAACTGATCTTAAATTAATTTTATTTACATTATTGCGGTGTATTTTATATCTGTGTTATGTTTAATTTCTACAAATGCGACTACATATTTATAATTAATTTTTTATTTAATATCTGAATTTAATGGGATTAAGCCAAAAATAGCTTATTGTATATTTAAATACATTTGAACTTATAAAAGCTTAAAGGTGTAAGTAATTTACATAAAAGTGAGAAAAAATAATTGTTTTGTTAAAGATTAACGAGATAATATTGATTGTAATTTCATGAAATGGAAAATAGTCATTACGCATTATGTGGTTAATCATTTATGTAAAAAATATTTTTAATGATTTTCAAAATCATGAAATAATTTCAGTAGTAATTCCGTATCTCAGACATGCTACAAAATTAAAAAAATTACAATTAATTTTTTAAATTAACATTGAGTATATGAACAAGTACACGCTCTGAATGTATCAAGTACCACTTTCATTTCTTCGTTTTTCCTTTGATTGTATCCTTTTATTTTATTTACAGTTTTTTTTTCGCAGTGTTCCTTTTACGTTCTGTACATTTGGAAGAAGCGGTTCTTCTTCTTCTTTTCGTCGCTTTACAATTTCTTACGCACATTTACTCAATAGTGCACGTTGCTTTGTATGGGTGTTCGCTTTCGAAACTTGGTCTCTCTCTCTCTCTCTCTCTCTCTCTCTCTCTCTCGTTCTTCAGCTTACGTTTCGACGGGAGTCTTGCTTATTTCTAAAGATACACAGACAGCAGAAAAGGGAGAGAAAGAAACTGACATGCAGAGTTTAAAAGAAAAAGTAAAGGGAGAAGGAAAATGTCAATAAAATTCAAAGAACGATATTAACTTACACAAAAAAAAAAAAAAGAAAAAAAAAAAAAGAAAATTTGAAAATTACGTAAAAAAAAAAAAAAAAACCAAAAAAAAAAAAACAAATAAAATAGAAATAAGGAATTGATATGGCCTTAGAGATAGCATGTAGAGATAATGCGCGAATAGATAAGCCAAAGTAGAGATTGAAGGGTGAGTAACTGGCTAAAGAAGCGGACAGGTAAAGGTACTTAATAAGAAATGTGAAAGGAAATATAAAGTCAAAGCGATGAGGGGAGATAGGAAGAAGTCGGTTTTAAACGTGTGGTAAGAATCTGGGCGGGGAATACGGAAGAGAGAGATCGCGTCCCCAGAACGGGAGCGCAACAAGGGGAGAGAGCAACAGAGAGAGAGAGAGAGAGAGAGAGAGAGAGAGAGAGATAGAGAGAGAGAGCAAGAGAGAGAGCAAGAGAGAGAGAGAGAGAGAGAGAGAGAACGAAGGACGAAGAAACTGGCTGATCGGCGCCTCACACCCTCTCCCAAGGCAAAGGTGGGAGATCGTCGCGAGCTTTTCGATCGCCCGACGTCTCAGCCAGTCGCGGTTAAACTCGCCAGTTGAGCACGCACCGAGCAAACTTCACGTCAAGGCATTTGCGCCCGAGTAGTCACCACATCTTAACTATCTCAACCTCTAAACGTGAGTAGCGCTATTGCTGGCGATTTCGATTTTTCCAGAGTGCGATTCATCGAGAGCTTCTCGTTTTCTTGGACTTTTGACGGTCGGCATAAGGACGGCATTGGTGATGACAGTAATGCTTATTTTTAGAGATCCCTCTTTCATACGAGTCTGATTTTACCGCATACCTACCTACCTACCTACCTAACTACCTAACTACCTAACTACCTAACTACCTACCTACCTACCTACCTAACTACCTAACGCAAATATATACATATATGTGCATACATGATTTTATGCATACGGATGCGTAAACATGTGCATAAACATGCGTACGCGTGTACGCATATAAGTATGTGTGAATTGTGAACACGTGGATACTCGAATATCGCCTGGGATCTAAGGATCTCGCGCCTTTTTCGTTGCCGATACTCCGGTGCACTATCCCGAGTACTTTCTTCGTCAGCAATTCAATACGCAAGATTAGAATTTACAGTGTTTACAGTGCGATACATAATTCATTTTACTTCAATGCCCGTGGCAGGATCTTTCAGTGAGATCGTGTTTTCCTATTTGTTTATGCACTCTACTTCATTAATACGTCATTTTTTATATTAAATCATCGTTGAGTTCAATCGTTCATACGTAGATCGTAAATAGCTTGATACTCTCGATCGAAAGCAATTTATTTGAATTTTCTTTCATTGTCGGACACTTTGCCAATGCTTTGCAATCGTGAGAATCGCGAATCCGAGATATCTTTTAGGAATTATTCTCTTATTGGATGTAATAAATAAATAAATTAATTAATTAAATTAATTAATTAAATTAATGTATCATAAACTATCTGTTTGTAATTCTAATTGAATGTGATGGCACTTTTGTTAATGGTTTGTTAGATTTCATTAGAAATATCGGCCGTGTTTATCTAAGATATTTAGAAAAACTATTTGACATTTTACATTGATCATAGGCAAGAAAATGAAACGACATTTGCCGCGAACGCTATTGAATTAAATTAAATAAAAGCCCGAACGCTACATAAATTCAAATCACGAGTTAACGTATGCGTGCAAATTTTTTACATTTCTAATGGTTAAATAATAATTAAAACGACTAAAATAATTGTAAAGGCACCTAACGTCTTTCCCGCCTATTATATTAATTTTATGTTGATGATGGTTATTTATATATAAATTTGCTCGCTCGTACGATTACAATTGGACTCAATGGCAACAATTATTTTCCTATTGAACGATCGAGTGCTCGTGCAATGTTATTATTCAAAGTACACTTGGCACTCGCGCCCCGCAAGTTACTTAGCGAATTCGAATTTACTTAGAATAAGATGATCGTTATTAAATGAGCTACACTCCCACTACCCTCGTAATTATCACAACAACAACAACAAAAAAAAACAAAAAAAAAAAAAAAATTAAAAAAAAAAACAACAAAATAATACACGGCATTAATGGTTCCGACGCGCGCGCGTGTAAGGGGACACCGAACGTTACGACTAGCCTGAAATGGTCTGGAAGAAGTCGAGGATGAGAAACAAACGAGACGAGGAGGCACCGTAACCTGCCTCTTTCCATCTCACGGATTGTCTCCGCCATTTTCTCTACCTCTTTCTCTCTCGTCATTCTTGCCAAACTGCTCCTCCCCACCCCTGACATAGTATATAAAAATATCCTTCCTTCTGTCTCTTTTAACGCTCTCTAGTTTTTTCGTTTTAATTTAGATGAAAAATGGTTGTGTAGATAGTATTTGGGATAGTTTTGGCAGTCCAGAGGATCGGATTTCAGTCTTTACAAATTTACCATTATTGATCATTTGACTTGTAAATTTTTCTAAATTGATATTATCTTTTCAAGGTTATTGGACTAATGAATTATTTTTCTTTACAATTTTCCCTTTTATAATTCATATGGGCGCGCACGATGGTATTCAGCTACAAATATGATATATTTAACAATGAAGGAGTCTCGTTAATAACAATCTCGTTTTACGTAAATCCTTATAAGCTGTAATAATATCAACTGAAATATCTTAATCGAGCTCCTTATCCGCCATAATCATTATCATCATCATCATTGACATTATAATATTTAGTAGAAGTATCTCTCTCGTATTGTTGAATAGGTATTTAAAAATAATATTCATTATTTTATTCGATCGGTAATTAAAGAAGAATAATAATGTATAAATATTTACTATACTAAAATACTTTATTTTTATTTACTTCTTAGTAAAAATACATTAAAATCTATTGCTTAAGAATAGACTTTTGCATTAATATTATTTACCCATCGATGAATCATAAAAATTTATTTAGATTTACAATGAGTTATTATAGTGTATGTATGTATATGTATAGATAAATAATATAACTAGTTGATCTCATTATGTAAATTTCATTATTTTTACTGCCTTCGTCTTAACTGAAAAAATTTTTTACTCATAATGTTTCTATTGAAAAATGTATAATACATAGGATATAATATTTGACAATGATAATTAATAGTTATCATTGGTAAAGAATAAAAGTGTAAAGTGGCAATATTAGAAATTTGCTACTTTGTTTGCTTTCGTCAAATCAATCATAAAAATGTTAAACTTGAGTATTTCGAGCGAGGTTTTCGACGCTTCCTAATCCAAATCCAAATATAACCATTGCAATTATAATTCCTGGATTTCTTCATAAGAACATTTTCAATTTACTTAACCCATTACTCATTGGCAAATTATAAGAGCTTAAAAGCCCGCTCTGGAAAATATCTATCGCAAAGCCTTCGAATTCTGTTCCAATTGGCCATATTAGAAACTGGATCAGTAGCGACCGTTCTACTCTTGGTGGTATCGAAAGTCTCGTTCAGGCTCCCGATCAGCATCTGCAGCTAAGACCTTCCACTATAAATAAAGCTTGCGCGCAAGCACTCGCTCGCTTACTAATTATATACTCTAATGCACGGAGAAACTCGGCGCCTCTGCCCCCTTTCACAGATGTTGCGTGAGATCTTTAAAGCGGTGGAATGTAAATGAGAAATCGAAAATTTTTTTACTGACGTCGCATTCTCTTCCTCTCTCTCTCTCTCTCTCTCACTCTCATAATTCTCCCCCCCCCCCCCCCTCCTCCCCCCCCCC